ATTACAAAAAAAAAAAAAAAATGGTAGCATTAAAAAATTATGCGATTTTTAAAGCTTTCTATGCTGTTGCTTGGCCAGGTTCGTTGAATTGTCTGTCGCCGATCCATGGTACTAACATAGACTTTCTACTGTTCGATTAGCGAATCAGGGATTTTAACAGACATAAGGTATTCCATGTGCTGAATATGATAGTTTCCAAACATATCTGAAAAATAAATTGAGCATTTTAGGCACACTGAATCATGAAAAAACTTATTCTTGTTGCATTTTCTTGTACAGTGAACCTACGTTTCCTTTCAGGATAAAAATGCAGTTGTTGAAAAACACAGGATTTGGCCGAATGGAAAGATTCCATACATAATAGATTTCGCTTTGAGTAAGAATGATTTTTAATTCTTCATTTTTCTGACACAAAACAATTGGTGCTGTGCAAAGAATTAATAAACATTTATCATCAAGACCGGTTTACGTGACCGAGAAAAGAAATTAAAAATTAAGACCACAAGACAGACTATCAGATTCTATAAAGCTTCATTGTTTTTATGCGACTGAAACCGGTTTGCACTTGTTAACGTTCATGTATCAATTGGTTAAATTAGACGATATATTATATAAATATAGAATATTTATTATATCAGGTATTATATTAGTATATTATGATAATTAGACCAAATTATTAGATACACTGTAGTGTTTGAATAATTACATGTTTTGCAAGAGTTTAATTTGCAATATTTTTATATGTAATGGGCTTTTATTCTGGAGATTTTTTACATACTTCCTATTTGTATTTATTTTTAACGTATTGCATTGCAATGTTAAGCAACTGATACACGAACGTAAACAAGAGCAAACCGGTTTCAGCCGCGCAAAAACAAATTTGTATATTGTCACCACCTGATGATTAAGATTTTACATTGAATCTTATAGGACGTCTAATGCTTTGGCCCGGGACTGTATAGCCATTTCTGACTCTTGTGTCAATGAACTCCAACCAACTAACACAAAAATTGGGAATTTAGATGTATATTAAATTTATTTTCAAAGAAAATTTTTAAAAAAAAGAAAAATAAAGAAAACATGTGATTCTATTGTGCTGTTGCTAAAAATCTGCTGTTACTAAAAATCTAATGGTGTATGAAGAGGGTTCTGTGTCTTCTATGTTAACAATCCCCTATGTCAAGGTTAAAGGTCGGTCTGCAACAATAATCTACGCTTTCGATACGTTTCCAGGACATACTCAAAATTTACAAAAAAAAAAGATACTGATCTATCAAGGACCTTCATGACATAAGGCACGATTTCGAACATTACATTCTATTAAATCAATCCTACCCAAGTCAAAAATTTTGATGGTTTTCTATTGATGGATTAACATAATCTTGATGGTAACCATCAATAATTCCATCATGAACGATTATATTTTTGATGGTAACCAACATAATTAACTATC